TGTGTGTGTGTGTGTGTGTGTGTGTGTGTGTGTGTGTGTGTGTGTGTGTGTTTTGTTTTTTATCTTAAAACTCTCTCTCATCCATACCATCTGGTTTCCCTGTTGTTTAATTTTTTTTCGTCACGCTGAAATGCGCCTCATTGCTAAAGCAGATACATGCATAAGACAATTACTTCTTTCATGTCTGAAAATCCCAAGCACCCATTTTTCCCTTCTCTATAAAGCACTGTCTAGGCTTATACCTTGGTGAACAGAAGTGTGATATGACTTCATTTTCAAACCATGCTTAAAGATTCCGTAAGTAGGTGATTTTAACAAGCCCAGTTCACTGCTATGCCCTCAAACTTTTTTTTTTTTTTTTGGGTTTTAGCGACCGACGCGCAAACTACTTCCACGTTTCGCACAGCTTTGTTAATGCATTGCTTTTTTTCCTTAATGGTGTTCTGACAGACATCGTCTTACTTTGAAATGTTCATAGCACCCTCTTAAGGGCTGGTGGGGAACCTAGAAATCTTATTTTGGGGACAAATTATGCAAATTGGGGTTATTACATATTATAGTACCTGGACATTTCCTGAACAATATTCAGAAACGTATGTAAGCCTTGCTACACCCTAAAGCTGTATTTTTTTGCCCACGTGTTTCTGCGAAAGCACATATTTTCCAGTCTGTTCTTACCTTTATCAGCTGTTTTCTCACAATTCTATGTTTTCACTCATTATCCCATTTTTCTGCCCTGTTTCTTTGTTCAATTTCAATGTAACTTTCACGGGATGCCAACAACACCTAGTTCTAAATCTTCTCTTGTTGAAGTTTTGATTAATGGAGTAGTTTTTTTATTTATGGGCTTAGAAAGCATGACTTTTCCTTTTTTTCCACTTTTTTTGCAATAACCCAATTGTAAGTGTCATAAAATAAAAACTAAATCATGTATCAAAAATCCAACAAGCCAAATTTAAGAGCTATATATTAACCGTTGGCATGCCAAATTAGAAGGGAATCAGTTAATAAATAAGGAAATAGAATTGGATTGAAAAAGGTATACAAAATCCAATGTGGCCGCTGTTTCCATAGCAACCGATTCAACATATACTTTTTTAACTATAGATTTCAATTCCCAATAGCACACAATGTCCCACAGCAAATATAGGCACTCTAGGCCTTGTAATAGCCAAAATAGACCTCAGGTGCCCCACCAGCCCTTAAGGAGGTACACAGAAGGTATAGATTGGGATCAACTCCTACTCCCCGCAATAACAGGCTTGAAGGTTCTTTCAGACTGAAAAGGCCTTTTCTGGGCTATTCCAGTACATGGCTGCTGCAGCTGGTGCTCGTATGACCAGTTCATATTTAAGCATACATTATGGCGCCTGGGTGATCAAACATTATTTCCTCTCAAAATTGGTGTAGTACCGCGCAACATTGAAGACGTTATGAACTGATTTTTAATAAAAATAATTTTTTGGCGATCGTCGAGTCTGCAACAATCGCCTTACAATTTTCTGTTTCGATACCAGTTCAAAGTACCCAGTGGCCCCTCGGCGAGGAGCGTGTCCCATACGAGCGTGTTCTTTGTTATTATTATTATTATTATTATTATTATTATTATTATTATTATTATTATTATTATTATTATTATTTTATTATTATTATTATTATTATTACTATTATTACCATTATACTCTTTGCTCAAACTGAACGAAACTTGCCTCGAGACTAATGCCATATATGCCTTTGTTTCTCTCTCTTCCTCTCCAGTTGTGATGACCGGCCTGTAGGGGAATGACACTACATTTAGCAATTCCTCGCCGAATGTTACAGAAAAGGTTCAAGATGGCGGCTGCGTGCGTCCTATTTCTTCTTATGTGCACTGGTGAGTTCCCGTACTTAATTGAGTCCCTGTTCCCGTCTTCCTCATTAATGCTAGGCCAATGCATTTTTTGGGGTCAAAATGAATTTCACCCCCCCCCCCCCCACACACACACACACACACTCACATATACATAAAGACATAGTTAAGAAGTGTTTTTATTTTATAATGGCATGGTGGCCTGAAATTGTCCCCCTCTGAGACTGTGGACCTTGGATGTGTTTTTTATTTTTATTTTTTTATATTTTTTAGTAGAGGTTTTACGGCGCTCGCAACTGCATAAGATCATATGAGCGCCACGGGGTGGATCTCAAAAGAGAAGTTCTTACAAGGAATCGGGCTTACTCTGCTCACCTCTTTAGCTTTAACAGCACAAAGTCTGTTTCGACTTTCAAGGCACCCCGGAAATAGCGGGTCACAAGAGTGTGACAAACATACAAAAGAAGTAGAGAGAAAATGACGATAGTAATGATTAGGAAAGAAGAAGGAGCAGTCCCCTGTTGTTGCACAGTTATGAGCATGGTATATTGAATCGGCCCATTTACAACTCCACTGTGCATAAGAACGAGAAATGCCCCCCCTTTGGGAATGGCCTATATACACTTCAGTCAGTGGGATGGCCGGGGG